CACCACCACCACCACCACCACCACCACCACCACCACCACCACCACCACCACCACCACCACCACTACCACAACTATAATCATGCCTATCAATCGTGATAGGAAACCATTAGAAGCCCTTTGAAAACGGAAATATATCGTTCTGGCCAACTTACGACTTGTGCGCACTTGAATGCGGGTTGTCTGAAACAATCACAATACTTCGACTACGAGTAGCTGGTTGTGGTCGTGACAATTCTTTGCGTGTTAAAGGATCAGTCTGATTGCCTTCCAGTTTAGACGGCCCAGGTGGTTCGGATCTGTTTCAAATTTACAAGCGAAAACACCTCATTTTGCACACCGGAATCTAAAATCTTTCACATAAAATGGATCACATCAGTAGGTGCGTGAGCAAAATAAATTCAGTCATCGGTTATCCCTGTAATTTACGCTGTACTTCTTTCAAGTTATCTGTATGCTTAGTCCCATTGAATATTTATATATGCCGACCTGAGGTTCTGAACATATGGTAGCTGGTCTACTTTAATTAGTGACTTGATTGTATGGCATGCAGTTGCATCTGACAGGTTAATTCCGTATGAAATATTTTCTGATTTTACAGGGTGGCCATTTAGTTTCCCATTTGAACATACACTTCTTGTAACAATTAAAGTAGAGTGTAGGGTTTAGGAGTGTGGTTTTCGTTTCGGTTTACGGAAACTATGCAGTACAGCGGTGAATAGGTATCAGGGTACTTTTCAGGCAGATCATTCAAAATTCGAACAAGGACCTAGTTGTTGATTTACAACAACATTTACTCTAGACTAGCCACTGTTGAAACGAATATTTGCGTCGCTGGTTGACCAAGTGGTTGATATGTTAGAGTAGTTAGATTGCACTGAGTATGATGAAAGAAATGCACTTTTTCTCTGCGTTTATACTTACGAAGAGATTAGGGAAACAGATTGAGCGAAGACTTTAAAATTAGACGAGGAAAGAAAGAATTCATGCATTTGTTATTCGTTACCAAAAGTTTTACGTTCTCCAATTAAATTATCTGCAGTTATATAACTTGGCACAGAAAATTACAAAGGTGCATAAAATACTAATCAAATAGTTGAATGAATTCTCACTTCCTCAATGTGACCGCTGTGGACACGGTTACATTGTTTGTGTCCGCACGTCTCTTTCTTTCCAAGGATGGGGTACGGAATCGTCGTAGGCCATTGGGTGTGGTCGGAGCCACACTATCCATTTCGGCATCGGAGCCATCTGCTGCATATTCGGTATCTGTGATCGGTTTGTTTTGTGATATTCGCCGGGACATGAGCTCAACATTGACCGGTAGACGTGGAAACTGGCTGTCCGGTTTGTCTGCTGCGGCTATTAGATTGGGCAGGTTCAGGCAGGGACGATGAAGCTGCTTGCTAAAGGGGCGGCAAAAGTTTCAACTTCAGAAGTGTTGTTAATCGGTAGTTGATGATTCCTGATTATCAAAACTTTAGGAATCGATTAATGACCGTAACAATACACGTGGTAGCAGGATGTGTGGAATGATTTGTTAAGTCAAGGTTTTCATGTAAAAGCACTGGAAGGGGAATTAGTAAAATGTCTACCCTGTTGGTAAACTGAAAATTCCGGTGAGCATGGCGGATTTGGGCG